GTGCGGGCTTCGACATATTTGGGTCATCTTATGCATAGGTCGCCGACTGCTGCTTTAGGAGTTATTAGATCTGGTGGAGCTGCTTCAGATTTTGGGTCGCGTCGGATATTTGGATACCCAGCATTTGGTCACATCGTGGATGTGAGATTGGATCCGATTGCGCGTTTGGGGTTCGGAGGCTCAGTTGATTATCGTTTGGGAGCTTCTGATTTTGTTCTGAGCAGGTATGTCACTTTTGACTCTCGGCAGGTGGAGAGTGTTGATCAGGTCATTTGTTGCAGACTTTTCTATTTGTTTGAGGGCCTTTGGAGGCCGTTTGGGTGAACTACGTGAAGGCTTGATTCCTTGGGCAAGAGGATACGTAGGCAGTCAGTTTTGATGCAGCCGATTTGGTGAGCGACATCGACATTTGGGGTGAGTGTTCGCACTCCCGTTTGGGTCTCATTATGTGAGGCATTTGTTTGGTTGGTGTCGGCTCAGTTTTGGAAAAACTTCGCCGAGGTGGAGAATTGTGGAGAAATTTGGAAAATTTAGGTTTTTGCAGATTCTGTGTCATAAGTCGACTCATGCACAGGCATAAGTCGACTTATGGTAAGTCGACTTATGTAGACTGTTAAGTCGACTTACGTTCTGCTCTGGATTGTTGGTTTTTTGCTCTGCCAAGTCGACTTATCAGGTCTGATAAGTCGACTTACGATCTGTTCTCCAGTTGTTGTTTTTCGCTCTGCCAAGTCGACTTATGCAGACTGTTAAGTCGACTTATGATGGGTTTTTTGGAAAGTTAGAGTTCCTATTTGCAGTCTGTTTGGGTTTCTGTTTTGGTATAAATACCAATACGATTTGAGGGTTTTATAGCAGCAAATCTGGGGATTTTGGAGCACAGAAAAGAGAGATCTTTCTGAGCTATTTGTTAGGGTTATTGGTTGAGAGGTTGAGAGATTTGTTGGTGAGATTAGTTGGTTCGTTTGAGCGATTTGTAATCTCAATTTGTACTCTCCTTCTCTATTAGTGGAAACCCTCCCCCTTCTTGCCCCGTGGACGTAGGCAACTTGCCGAACCACGTAAATCTCTTGTATTAATTGGTGATTGTGCTTGTTTATTTTGTTGCGATCTCTCTTATTTGGATTGTGTGATTCGACCGCTTCCGCGCCGCTCATAACAATTGGTATCAGAGCTTCGGGTTTAACTTGAGGCTTGTTTGAAGGATTCGCTGAAGGATTCCTATTTGAAGAGTTAGATCGACAACATGGGTGAAGCAAGCACATCAGGATCGTCTCTTACGAAGACGATACATAGTTTGAGCATCAATAACATAAAGATCGATGTTACGAAGTTTGATGGTAAGATCAATTTCGGTTTGTGGAGGTGCCAGGTGATGGATACGTTGGACGGTCAGAATTTGGAGGAGACTCTTGAGTTACAAGAGAAACCTACCGAGATGGAAGCTAAGGTTTGGAAGAAGATGAATAGTAGGGCGTGTGGAGTTATTCGGTCATACTTGACGCCAGATCTTATTTATGATGTGATGAACGAGACTTCGGCGAAAAAGATGTGGGAAACACTCAATGAAAAGTATCTTACTAAGAGCATTGAGAATCGGCTTCACTTGAAGAAGAGGTTTTATCAGTTCAAGATGAAGAGAGGAGTTTCCATTAGGGAGCATGTTAACAACTTCACAAAGCTACTTTCAGACATGGCTAATGTGGATATCATGGTTGAGGATGAAGACAAGGCGATGCTACTTTTGTGTTCGTTGCCCGATGATGATTTTGGTACGTTTGTTCTAACTATGATTAATGGAAGAACTACTGTTAGTTACAAGGAGGTGACCTCAGCGTTGGTGAATTATGAGTTGAGGAAGAGTGTTGATGAGTTCTCCGAGAAGGCATCGGGAGATGCATTAGTAGTTCATGGTCATGGTTCAAACCGAAGCAGGAGGTCGCAGTCTAGAGGTACACATCGTGGGATTCGTAGGAATTAGTGTGCCTTTTGTAAAGAGGATGGACATTGGAAAGCTGAATGCCCAAAGTTAGATCGAGCCGAGAAGAATAAGGGGAAAGCTGTACAAACTTCAGAGATGAATGTTGTCAAGACTAGTGGTAACAATTCAGATTCGGATTCTTCGGGCTATTCATTATCTGCACCGCCGTCAGTTTGTGTTGCCAACTCTACAGAGTGGATGTTGGATTCGGATGCTTCATACCACGTATGCCCTAGGAGGGATTGGTTCTCCAGCTTTCAGAAGTTGGAAAAAGAGGATGTTGTGCTCATGGGTAATGGACATGCATGCTCTATTGGTGGTATTGGTACCGTTCGTATTCGGATGTATGACGGAGTGATTCAGGAGTTGGAAGGAGTGAGGTTCGTTTCGCAGTTGTCGAAGAATATCATTTCACTAGGAGCTTTGGTGGCATTTGGCTATAAAGTGACCTTGGAGGATGCACGTTTGAAGGTCACATTGGGGTCCATGATTGTTATGAAGGACGTCAGAAGGAGCAATTTGTATTATTTGCTCGGAAGCACGACGATTGATAGGGAGATGACGACTTCATCAGATTCGGCTAGACTGTGGTGTTGTTTGATGCTGGGTTATTTGATTGGAAATGTCGTGCATAGATTTTTGAGGAGTGCTTTGACCTGTAGTTTGAAGTCCTGTGAACCCATTGGTATGAGCGAGAAGACCGAGGTGGAGTTTGGCACTTCTATCCATCATTCGAGGGGTTTTCTGAGTGGTGTTCATTCAGGTATTCGGGAGCCTTCCAAGGGAGCATTATTGGGAGGTAATAGGTATGTGGTTTTTGCAGTTGGGGATTGCTCTAGACATTGGTAGGTTGCAACCAAATCCCATTGGTGTGAAGTCCTAGAAGCCCGCAACAGATGGAGAAAGTATGTTGGTAGAAAGGTAACCCGACGTTCTGATTATGGTAGGGGTTCTTTCTTGCATTTGTGTCAAGCTCACGACAATAGGAGACACTTCATTGGTGTGGAAACTTTGAGGCGACAAGGCGAGATGTCAGATTCAGGTAGCTGTTCCTTTCTGGAGGAGGATCGGCGTTTGATGTCGAGCATTGGCATTGGTGTGCAGGCTACGATATGTTTGGGCCGTCTCATGTATAGGTTGCCGACTGCTGCATGTATAGATATGGGATCTGGTGGAGCTGCTTCAGATTTTGGGTTGCGTCGGATGTTTGGCTACCCAGCACTTGGTCACATCGTGGATATGAGATTTGATCCGATAGCACATTTGGGATTCAGAGGCGTGTTTGATTATCAGGTATTGGCTTCTGACTTTGTTCTGAGCAGGCATGTCACGTTTGAATCTCAGCAGGTGGAGAGTGGTGATCAGATCTTTGGGACATCACAGCGGGTGGAGAGTGATGCTACTCCACGTTGGGTGGAAACTCCAGATCATACTGCATCATTTGGGATTCCAGCTGATGTGACACAGATTGGGAATCGTGTTGATTTGGATGCAGATGATAGGTTGATTGATTCGAGTACAGCTGATGGATGTAGTCTGGATATGGCCATTGGTTCATCTCAGGTGGAGATGTTTGGATTAGTTCAGTTTGGAGCCATTGGAGGTGCTATCAGCCGCAGACTTGATTGTGATATTGGAGAAGGGTTGCGAACTCTTCTAGTGGATTGAGGCCTTTGGAGGCCATTTGAGTGAACTACGTGAATGCTTGATTCCTTGGGCAGGAGGATACGTAGGCAGTCAGTTTTAATGCAGCCGATTTGGTGAGTAGATACCGACGTTTGGGTGAGTGTTCGCACTCCCGTTTGGGTCTTGACTTGTTATGGATTGAGTCTGTTGTTGTTGATCGTTTCACTTCGTACTGGATGTAACAAGTGAGGCATTTGGTTTGGTCGGTGTCGGCTCAGTTTTGGAAAAACTTCGCCGAGGTGGAGAATTGTTGGATAGAGAATTCCTAATCTATTTTGGTAACATGAGGTTATTAGGATTCCTAGTTTATTTTGGTAACATGAGGTTATTAGGATTCCTAATCTATTTTGGTAATAGGTTATTAGGATTCCTAATTTGATTTGGTTTTGGTTTAGAATTCCTAGTATGTTTATGATTTTAGGATTTCTATATATATGGAACAATTGGAAGAGAGAATGAGGAGAAGAAAAATTAGGGATATTTGGAGCACAGAAAAGAGGTATTTTCTGAGCTATTTGTTTAGGGTTTTGTTTGGAGGGATTAAGAGCTTGTTGGTGAGATTAGTTTGTTCCTTCGAGTGATTTGTAATCTCAGTTTGTACTCTTTCTCTATTAGTGAAAACCTCATCCCCTTCTTGCCCCGTGGACGTAGGCAACTTGCCGAACCACGTAAATCTCTTGTGTTAATTGGTGATTGTGCTTGTTTATTTGGTTGTGATCTCTCTTGTTTGGATTGTGTGATTCGACCGCTTCCGCGCCGCGCACAACAGGAATAAGCCGTACTTATATGCTTCAAATTAAGCTTGTGAATGCTAAATTTAAACTATAAACTTAATTACTATCCTCTATTCTCATCATAACCTCGCAGTTTTGGCATAATACCGAAAGAGATATCAATATACATCCGAGTAAGCGAAATAAATTCAAATACTATATTGCGCACTCATTTGACGTGAAATTAAGAACAAGATGCATATATGTAAACCATAGTACCAATTTCTGCTTATAAACAGTTGGCTGCATATATTTGAGTCTATTTAATCTCAAATGATCGAGAATGAACAACTCACTCAACTAATTAAACATAGATCTTAATGCCTTGATGATTCCATCTACCTTTCTTCTACAAGATCAAAACACGTGACTACTGCAATACAACACAGCTACACGAGTAGGGAAATAAATAATCCTCGTGACTAATTAAAAACAAACAAACAAACAAACCAACCAACCGCCTTGATTGTATGCATGCAACATATATATAATAAAAGATAACAAAAATAAAAAGCTAGCCAACTAATTAATAGATACACAGTTGCACTGCATGGATAGCTAATTACACTGTTGAAATATTGCATCACTTCAGTGGTCCCTTTTGATATCCATGAGCTTGATGAATAGGCGGAGTTATATATGATCAAAGATATATGTGATGACCTTTGTATAAACCCTCACTCCACCGTACCCCTTAGAAACTTCTCACTGCCGCAGTGTGTTCATAGTTTTCATTTCTCGTTCCCAATACCACAATGCATCTTCAACTCGCTTGGTTCCTCCTCTTCGACATCATCATCGGGCTTCTGGCGTTCGGAGATCTCTCCGAAGCAGCGCGAGCCTTCTTCGTGTTCGGGGACTCTTTGGTCGACAACGGTAACAACAATTACTTGGTGACCAGCGCCCGGGCAGACGCGCCACCCTACGGGGTCGATTACCCGACCCATCGGCCCACGGGTCGATTCTCCAACGGGCTTAACATCCCTGACATTATAAGTAAATTTTTTTTAAAAAATATGCTTGCTAACATTTTTTGGAGGGAAACATTAACCAAGTTTGAAATTGCTAACGATTGGGATGCACAGGTGAGCATCTCGGAGCTGAATCCACATTGCCCTACCTGAGCCCAGAGCTCAGAGGGGATAAACTACTTGTCGGTGCTAACTTCGCTTCGGCTGGAATTGGAATTCTCAACGACACCGGAATCCAATTTGTAACCATCTTTCAGTTTTTTTTTTTTGAGCTTTTAAATTACAATGTTATTTATACGACCGCTAACATGTATATTTCATATGATTTTAGATAAATATTATAAGAATTAGCGAGCAATTGGAGTATTTCCAGCAGTATCAACAGAGGCTGAGCTCTTTGATCGGACCAGACCAAGCCACGAGGCTGGTGAACGATGCGCTCGTGCTGATCACCCTCGGAGGCAACGATTTTGTGAACAACTACTATTTGCTGCCATTTTCTGCCAGATCTCGCGAGTTCTCGCTTCCAGATTATGTTCGGTACTTAACATCCGAATACAAGAAAATACTCGCGGTAAATTTCTATAACAACTCTATTTTCTTTTTTTCTTTTTTTGTTTATTAATTAATTGGACAAAATTCCAGTGACAGTCTGCTAACAGTAGCAACTTTGGGAAGCGAGACGTGAAGGACTGGATAATAATTTTTGGTTTATTATTATTCTATCATGATTGAAATAGAAGGCCTTTTGTCTTCAAGGATGTGACTAAATTTAATAGTGGGGGTAGTAAATGCAAAGTTAATTTGGGTTGGTGAAGTTCCTGAAAGTTCTTGGCCCCACTTGGATATCAATGCGCACTGTTTTAAATTATCAAATTAAGTTATTTGTTTCTGAGAAAATATAGGTAAAAAGAACTGCAACCACTTGAACTGAGCATAAAATTTCCTTCACTTTTTTATATGTCATCTTTCTTCCAAGTAGAGACAAATATATGATAGTTTCAATGGTAATCTGATGTCGCTACTCTCAAAGCTAGAAAATAATTAAAAACTAAATTATTTAGAATCATCTGATTATAAAATTTCGGTGGAACATTTTTTAAAAAGAAAAATCGTCCAATTACAGGCCGTAGTATCTTTTCTTTCTTACTCTTTAGAGCTATTATATATTCTTCAGAGCTTCAGCTAATTCACCATGCATATATTACAAAATCTAAAAGTTTCAGTGAACATATAAAATAACCCGAATTTTCAACTCTAACATCATTCACTTATATCAACTCAAACTTATGCAATAAATTAATTCATTTAGCAAAATAAACTATCAAGAGATATCTAGAAGCGATGAGCTCTAACTGTTTCAATGTGACTAGCAGACCTTGTACAATATGGGCGCCCGTCGGACTTTGGTCACCGGTACCGGGCCGCTGGGCTGCGTGCCGGCCGAGCTCGCGCTACGGAGCAGGACCGGCGACTGCGACCCGGAGCTCATGAGAGCCGCAGAGCTCTTCAACCCTCAACTGGTCCAGATCATCCAGGAGCTCAACGCCGAGGCAGGCTCCGATGTGTTCATTGCTGCCAACGCTTTCAGCTCCCATATGGACTTTGTCACCAATCCACAAGCCTACGGTATAAACCCTTTTTTTTCGTTTTTCTTTTTTTCCCTTTCTTCACACTTTGTTCCATAATAGTAGGGTTGGTAAGTTTGATCCAATATGCTTGTTTTTTTAATTTAATTTAATAACCCAGTCCGAAATCGAAACGAGGACTGCAGAAGCCATAATGAAACCTCCCAACAGTCCGGATCACCCACCGATATGCTTTGGTCAATTTGAATTTGATCCGGTAATCTTGAGTATGGATGCATGTAGGCTAAATATAGCTCAATTTGGTATAATAATGTAAATAATCCGATTACGCGTGGATTTGTATATATATTGATCAGTTTCAGACCCACTAACCTGAGTTTTTTGAATCAACTATTAGTCTTAGTCATGGATCGAAATTATGTCAATCTGTCTAAGGTTTCGTGAGCTCTAACTGTTCCAATACTTTCATTATCCAAACGGGCCCTAAGTCGTTACCCTGCTCCATCCGTGAGCCCTGTCTCAGGTTTCGTGACGTCGAAGATCGCTTGTTGCGGCCAAGGCCCGTACAACGGGCTCGGACTCTGCACCATCGCATCGAACCTGTGCCCGAACCGCGACCTGTACGCGTTCTGGGACGCGTTCCATCCGTCGGAGAAAGCGAACCGGATCATAGTGAGCAGGCTCATGAGCGGATCCGTTGAGTACATGAACCCCATGAACCTCAGCACCATTTTGGCTATGGATGCTAGAACGTGAAAGTTTGAATTGGTTTGTGTTTTAAGATAAGATTCTTTGGCAATAGTTGGAGGGAGTGAAGGAGGTCTAGGGTCTATTGTTTAATTTGTTTTTTGGACCGGCCGGAAATTAATTATCTTGGGGCTTTTGATGTTATGTATTTGTCTGTGTTGTAGACGTGGAAGGAGTACCTGGTAATAACATCACGATATATGCATGATTGCACAATTTACTATTGAGGAAATTTTCAAAACAGCTCCAAAAAGATTTTTATTTTCAAAATCGACCCATTTTTTTTATTTATCAAAATCGACCCATTTTTTTTATTTATAAAAATCGACCAACTTTTTGCCACGTGGGCTTAATGAAGTTCCTAAACAGTCAGGGTTGGCAACCCCGACTATTTAGGAGGGTGTTAAATCCTAATTAAACCCTTAAACCCGAAATTTTTATGTCCTAAATAGTCGGGGTTGGCAACCCCGACTGTTTAGGAACTTCATTAAGCCCACGTGGCAAAAAATGGGTCGATTTTGATAAATAAAAAAAATGGGTTGATTTTAAAAAATAAAAATTTTTTTGGGGCTGTTTTGAAAATTCCCTCTTTACTATTTCTTTGGATTTTCTCCCCCTTGAGTGAAAAGTGCAAGATGCTCAGAAGACTTAGTAATCAGAGAGAACAAATGCATAATTTCAACGAGAATCATGAAGTTGCTAAAAAAACTAATTTAAAGGACCAGAGAGTATATATAGAGGCTTAGCTGCTTTGAATCTGAAGTAAAACGGAACACTGAATTATAAAATAATTTAGATTTTTCCCCCCGGTCGTTAATAACAACTCCTCCAAGTTTTGAGAGAAATTTTGAGATATTCTAAAATGATTAGACGAGGATGAATATCTTGAGGATGTCCTTCTTGTATTAGGAGCTCTGTTAATTAACGACATAGAGCTTTTCGATATAAACCCTCCACATTATAAGTATTTCTAAACTTACCCTTCAAATTGTTGTCTGTCATCCCTCGAGTTTACCCCTCAATTAAAAGTTAGAGCATAAAGATAGAATATTCAGTCAAAATAGTGATTTAAAAAAAAAGACCAACATACCCTTTAAATCAATTATTATGTCATGTGTTCTTTTCCCTTTTCTTCTCCTTGTCGTGGTAACGAGTAACGACCTAATAATGTTAAAATTTCAGAGGGATATGCTAGTAATTTAGCCCTCAGACTATCAAAAATTTAGCAACCGTAAGAATCGAGGGTAAAATTGAAGGAAGAAACCAATTTGAGTGCTAAATTTGAAACTATAGTGATTTAAGGGGTAAATTTGAAACTATAGTGATTTGAGTGTCAAATATAAAAAACATTAACAATTTCAGGGGTACAGAGGTCATCAAAACACTATCGTTCTTTTTATTCCGTATGCACTGTTTATAAAATTTTAATAGTACAGTACATTGTTTTTTTTTAATGTTTATGTTGGGCTTTGAGCATTTATGATACTGGGGTATATATATATATTTTGGGCCAACAACAGCCCATCTACGACGGCTTACTTATTAGAAGACTCGGGCCGAAAGCCTGACCAGCAGCCTGAAATCTCTGTTTTTTATTACTTCTTGGGTACACCCATGAAGTCTGAACAAGTTTGTGTGTCTGGGACTTGACCTCCATCAATTTTGGAATTTTCGGTTACTTTTTGTAAAACACATTAATTGTTGCTACAGTATCATAGAATTGGGTGGCCAGCTGGTAGCTACAGTATGCAACCCTATTTCCTAACTTTTTGCTGGGAATTGCTGAGTGCTTGCAAATCTGTTGCCATTTTCACCCACCAAACAGAGAAGTTTGTTGTAATAATGTAACACCTGACGCCTATAGTATTATAATCCCAAAAACTCTCAAAAAAGTGACAACCAAACAGGCCCTAAGCCCCCCATTAACCTTGAGAATTCCAGGAAATTTCAAAATGTTTTGACTCTTTTCATTTAAGTCTCTATGATTGCTTTATGACACTTACGTGATATTATCTATTTTTGCGAGCTTAAAAGTATGATGCTTAGGCGCTAGGCGAAAAAACAATTTCTGGGAGATTTTTGAAATCCTCAAAGATATTGGATATTTTGCGAGAGTTTCAAAAATTTTGGAGGTTACGTGCCGAACACATACATAGATTTGTTAGGGTTTTACCCTTAAAATTTTTAATATAGGTATAAAAAAATGTGGATTAAATAATATGAGAATAATGAATATCATTGTCATATCGACATACAAACATATATTAAATATACATTTGGTACTAACATGCATATTATTACAGTGTTAAAAAATCATACTCCCTTTAAAAACACGAGTTCGGGAAAATCTTTTAATAGACAAAAATACCATTGGAATTTAAATACTAATCCATTAAGTAAGAGTAACTTGATAAATTGATGAATCCTTATTGGATATACATAGTATGAAAAAAATGATATGGTTTAAATTGAAATGTAAACCTAAATGAAAGAGCAACTTAAGTAAATTAGACGATTTATTAAATACCAAATTTATGCCCTCGCTCTTATATATGATCAATGATCAAATTGCAAACAATTACTCATGTGCTATATGATTAATAATGCCAAAGTGAGAACAATTATTCATATGTTATATGATTAATAATTACACACAACGTGACGATCTCTCACCAACTAAAATTCAAGTAGTTCACAATACGCTTAGATTAATTAGACGATTTATTAAATACCAAATTTACCACCTCGCTCTTATATGTGATGAATGATCAATCTGTAAATAATTATTCACGTGCTACATGATTAATAATGCAAATCTGCAAACAATTATTCATATGCTATATGATTAATAATTACACACAAAGTGGCAATCTCTCACTAGGGGTGCTAAATCGTATCCGTATCCGAGAAAATATCCGTAACCGTATCCGTTAGGATACAAATATGGTTACTCAAATCTATAACCGATATGATATGGTTACGGATATGGTTTTGTAGTGAAATATTCGTATCCATATCTGAATACATATTAGTCATACTCTTACAATAGTTTCGATTCTTAGATTATGAATTTGTGGTTAATTTTGATGATCAAGATGTCTAATCTTAACTTTTGTTTCGATTCTTAGATTATGAATTTGTGGTTAATTTTGATGATCAAGATGTCTAATCTTAACTTTTCAATTATAATGGACATATTAACAAACTCTTTTGTATCACATGAACTATGTTTTTCTCAATACTATTTAGTGCATTTAAAAGTGCTAGTTTCTATAATTGCTTGGGATTGACTTTACGTATAGTCTACTAATACTCTAGGAAATTAAACATTTTTGGGGTGAACCTATTATTTGGGATGTTCGATTGTTTACTTAATATCTTGCCATGGATGATGTACTACACTAATATTTGTATCAAGAAGGAAGCATACCAAAAAGATCGCTTAGAGTGTATCTAAAGAAGTAAACAACTATGTTCTATGATATCGAGGGATGTTGATTTTTATTTGTGGGGGATTTAGTTTTTAGCGTTATTGTTTTCTTCACTTATAATGTTTGTATTTTACACTATCTTGTTGTGTTGATGCAGCATTAATAACAAAGCATCTAATTACTAAAAAAAATATGTTCCACAATGCGTATTATCAAAAGTCATTTTGATGATGTTGCTTATATTTGCAACATGGATCTTGGATTATATTGCACTCATTAGGAGTACGTAATATTATAATTTTTTTGGGGTCCAAATAAGCTTTATCATATTCTTTTGTTGTATCAAAATGCAGCAGTAGCCACCGACACAATCTTTATCTATTTTAGTGGTAGTAGGTTTCGATAGTAGCCCCCCCCCTACCTCCCTCCTCCCTCCCTCTTTTTCATGCGTTGGTATTTTTTGTCGTTGTGTTAATTTAGCCCCTCCACGTGTTCTCCATAGTGCAAGGACAACCTCCACTCCCTTTGGCACCAAGCTAATTCCAGCCTATGATGGCTACATTTTGGAGATATAAAAATATTTCCATATTGTACTATAACTTGATAGTATCATTATACCATTATTTTATTATTAAACACATAAATTTAATCCTCTAGGTTGAGGAAAATGTTTAGATAGATCTGAATTTCATAGATCGATGCACCGATCTCCGTTGAGGTGATTAATACGTGAGTATACTTTCACATTGAATAAGATACTCTTAATATGTGAGTATACTTTCACATTGAATAAGATACGAAAGAGTGATGAGTTTAAAAATAAAAGTTAGGGTGAATATCTAGGAGCTATAGCATTTGGGTTAAATTTAATTTCTAACATCTGTGTAAGGGTCATTGACTCTATATTGGGTCCAATTATCCCCCCAACAAATGATATCAGAACGAACGTTATGGCCTAAATAAAATACAAAGTGAAGTCCAATATGAAGTCGAGGGGTGTTGGGAGAATGACTAAAGTCAGGAAAGACAGTCAAACTACTCCACTGATGCTCATTGTTGTCCAAAAAGAGGAAAAATTAGATTAAATCTGAAATTAAAAGAGTTAGAACACCAGGCCTGAACGGGTGCAGTCGTGATTCACTGCCCTAGAAGATAGAGGACCCGCCTATCGCCCTGGCGCAGTCGATCCTCTTCCCCCTAGCGGTAAAAGCCCCCCGGAAACGGCCGGCCTCCGTACTCGGGCGAGAGCACAGAGCTTCTGCTCAGACGAAGAAGGTTGCTCAAAATAAATAACAATATCGAGAATATAGTAGCACAAAACCCCGTTATAATTATTTCTCTATTTCTTTTCCTTTTCTTTCTCTCACTGTTTTCTTTTTTTCTTTCTTTACGTGAGATGAGAGGAGAGAGAGTAGGTAGAGAAAGTGAATGTGTAATTATGAGATGATTGAGAGAGTTTATATAGGGAGAGTAACAACGGATAGTGGAGAGGGTTAAGGAGAAAAAAGTGGTTAGTTGGAGATTAATGTGCTTAGAAAAAGTCAATTTGACCTTTTCATAGAAAATATCCAACAGTCCCCCCCAAAAAGGCAATATTGACTGAAAACACAAAATCAATAAGTAAATCAATAAAACACAAAACAAATATAGGTTGGGCAACCTTTCGTATCGTGAATTCGAAAGAGGTAGCTTCCGGTTTGAACCTTTTCTTAGTGAGTTCATCGCCACCTGAGGGACATAATGGACTAGGCCTTGAATTAGGCCCCTTTAATCAGGTATTGATGAAAACACA